GGAAAGAGTTACCTGGCAGTAATCAAAACCATATAGTGAACAATGACAAAGAACTAGCATGAAGAAAGATTTTTCTTAGAAATTCCTGGAAGGAAAACACAAATTGATTAGAGAAAAAGTTCACTGAGTTTTGTTGAAGGATGAAAAAGATTGAAAATGAATAGAGGACATAGCAAAGCAATCATTTTTTTTACAGGGTTTGTCTAGGGATATCAACTGTCTAAGCCAACAGAAAGATAAAGCAGCTGTGTTTCCAATTCAGTATCAAAGGTATTTAGAAAATATGATCTACTGAATGGTATAACAATCCTTTGAAAAACTGTGTAGAGCAGAATGGTTAAGTGTAGGGTTATCTCAGAAAATAAAATCTAAACTGAATCATCAGGGTAGCATAAAGATTTCATGCCTCCAGACTGGATATATAACTACTCTTTCTTTTTATTGTTATTTCCAGAATTCTCTTGTTAACTGTCTAATTTAAAATAAAATAAACTTTATAAAATTTTCAAAGTATTTGTTTTTATTCCTGAGGATTTCAAAATCTTGTTTAATCCAGTGCTTCTTATTTGCTACAACAATTCCTAGATAACTTTTTTCTATTTTGCTTAATATTTGTGAATATTCCAGGGATCAAGAATCTGGACACAACTTTTCTCTTTCCTGTTGAAACATTTTAGATTTATTAGCTCAGCTATTGCTTTTGTGGCAATATAATTCAGGGAAAAATGGGTAAATTTTACATTGCTTTAAGTACTGATAAAATTAAATTAATATAATATATAAAATTGTCTTCCTATTATCTTTTAAAATTACCTTTATGAATAATTAGAAGATATTCATTTATAGAGTGGTTTTTATGAGGGAGAACTTGACAGAATACAACACCAGGCAAAACTAAAAGAATACTTTGAAGTTCTTGATCTCTGTCTACCTCTAGAGCATACAGGACAACCTGAGACTGACATAGATCTGTTGTAAGTTTAGTAGTTCTCTAACTTACCTTGCAATCACAAAGAGTACACAACTGACTCCTAAACAGGCTAAGAGCACATACATCCAAATGTCAGGAGATAGAGGGTTGAGGAAAGAGAAGACCCCTGGATTGGTGCCATTGGGCTTGTGGTAGAGAATGCTGATGCCCAGGGTCATGAAGGGTTTGGAGAAGTCTATGACTTTTTCCCGCACGTAAGTGATGGTGAGAGGAGCCACCGCCAGATCAGCCCTCTGCAAAAGCAAGTTTGAACTTGTCACCTTAGTTGTCTACCTTCCTGGTGAATGTCTAGACTTTTCCTGGTTCTCCTGATTCCTATTCTCAACTCCAAACGCTTCTCACACAAAAAGCTTCTGTGCTGATTAACTCTAATATAAAAACAGTTGATTTACACTGTTATGTTTACAAAATAGTATTCATTAGCAAAGAGAAACCAGACAGTGTGAAACACACACACGCACGACATATATATATATATATATATATATATATATATATATATATATATATATACACACACACACACACATACATATTCTGGAACTAAATGGGGGAAAGAAAACTACAGAAGAATGTCTTTAAAAAAGGGCATGTGAGAAAAGTAAGAAATGAGCAACTAGATCATAAAAGTAGTCGATGAGACTTTGCTCTGAGCTGCAAACTTCAGAACTCTTTATCTAATCTAAGAATCATTCAAGTTTATTCTTCAGTATGAAGGATGGGCCCATAAATTTTTATCCTCAGTTTTTCATTACTTGCCCTTCTAAGTGGGGAAACTACATTGGTAGGTTGTTTTCTCCCACTTTTCAAGCCATTTTTATGATTTAAAAAAAATAATAAATAAAACATGTCTTCTGACTCTGACTAAACCATTTTTTCTCTTTTCTTTTACTTCTTCTCATTATGCACTTTTTTTGACATTGAAGACCCCTATGTAGGAGATATAGTTTTGCTTACATGATCTATAAGTTCTTTGACCATTCCATTCCACTCTCCTTTGTCATTCTGAGCTCCATATTTTCCATCAGGGACAAGTTTAACATCATAAATGAAACCCAGGATGTTTGACAATTCCTTCAACAGATCCAGGCAATATCCTTCAAATCTGTCATTTCCATACAGGGGCTTATCAGATTTCCTGTACATCACATAGGGTTCTTCCTATATGAAACAAATCACATATGAAACTATTATAATGAAAGGCAGAATTTACTTACACAAGCTCTATCAACAGCCAGAAGATATAAAATATTTGAAAATTATTTTTAAGATTTGAGAATACTAAAGAAAGTCAGTTTCCCTTCTGCCTTTGCTAAACTCATCTTTTGTACATCCTCTACAAATATAGAACACTTCATATATTATTTCACTCCCTCCTCTCTCTTTGATTGAGAGTCTTTCCCCTCCACTGCTGAGGGCAGAGCTGTGAGTGAATGGCGTCATAGAGACACAATCATTTTTGAACTTTAGGTCTGGCAGAGAAGGCAGGGGACAATCTGATGTCTGGATGTCTGGCATGCAGCTGTGCCCACACCCAAGCTTCTAGTGCTACACCCACCCTCCCTCCTGGCTTTTATCTATGAGCTTCACCTACTTACAAAAGGGAAATCTAAATCAGCAAACATATTCCCTTGTTCTTCAAACTTCCTGTCTACTAAATACACTGAATATTTTAATTTTTTCATTTCTCAGCTAAATTGCATCTCAACTTCACTATTCCCTTATTACTTACCTATTTTTTCTTGGTTTCATTCAGGATATCTTATTCAAAGGCCATTTCAGTGTCTTCTTTTATCATCGGTTCCACTTTCTTATTTGAATGCATCTTAGAGCTCACATCTGGTAAATTCTTTGTTTATATGCTTATGTGATAAATCCCCTATCCTATGAATAATGGACATTTCCTTAAGTCTGCGTATCTATAATCTTATTAATTAATTTGAATAAATAAAAATTTATTTTTATTTATTATTTATTTATTCTCATTTGAATAAATAAAAATGTATTTTATTTTATACAATCATAATAGTTACTACATTACTGATCTGTCCTTTATGTTTAGGCTTATCCTCAAACAAACTGATAGAAGTAGAACACTCTGTATTTCCATGAGAAAGTTTCAGAGAAAGTAGACACCAGGAAAACAAAATGGTTTTCATTTTGGATGAATAATTCTCTGAAGCTAGCTGTTTCAGAAATAAATTGGCCTGATATCATGGACTAAGTCAAAACAGGAAGGTCCAAAAGTGAAGATTTTAGAGGTGGCCACTCCCTTTACTTCTTGGATTAGGGTAGAGCAAAGAGGGAGAACGAACAACTTATGGGTGCACAGTTGCTAGATGGGGGCATGACAGGGGTTCCAACACAGAGTAGGAGGTACTTTTACCTGGGCTTTTGAAGAGCAGTTAATAAAGGGCCTATTTTCAAAGGAATGAGCAAGACAAAGGGAGGCAACAGGGATGGTGGTGAGAACTGCAGTGGGATATAGACACCCAGGGAGCAGCATAATTAGGAAGCTAGGGCTGAGGCAGAGAGGGAGGAAAGAGT